AGAAATCAATGAAATTGAATACAAAACAAAACCAGAAACTGAATTAATGAATCTAAGAGTTGGTTCTTTGAAAGAATAAACAAAATAGCCAAACTCTTACCCAATCTAAGCAAAAAAAGAAAGAGAAAAGACACAAATAAATTTAATTAGGAATAAAAAGATGAAATCCCAATGTAAACTACCAAACTAAAAACATTATTAACAACTACTTCATAAGCCTCTATAGAAATAAATTGGAGAATTCAGAAGAAATGGATAGATTCCTAAATACATATGAATTACCAAAATTGAACCAAGAAGTTAAAAAAACCCTCAATAATCCAATAACAGGCAATGTTACTGAAGCAGTAAAAAACCCCTACCAACGAAGAAAAGTCTAGGATCAGATGGGTTCGTGGCTACAAAATTCTACAAAATTCAAGGAAATTCTAACATGAATATTCCTCAAACTTTTTAAATTGAGTTTATTGGTACATTTAGGTATACCTTATGATCATATTCATCACTGAGAATTTGTACCTGTGCATGATATATCTTGATTCTCATTTGTTTCCATTCCCTTGCCCTCCATTCAACCTCCACCACCACCCCCCATTATACATAAGCTTTGTTTCCATTTTTTCCTTCTTACTTTCATTTTTTTCTTTCCTTTTGTTCCTTTACCCTGCCTTCCTTGAAGTTTTTAATGAAATTGAGAGGGAAGGAGTACTACCAAAGTCATTCCTGGAAGTTATCATTACCCTGATTCCAAAACCAGACAAGTATCCATCCAAAAAGGAGACTTACAGACCAATCTTTTTAATGAATATAGATGCGAAAGTCCTCAGCTTGATATTGGCAAACAGAATAGAACATATCATCAAAAAAATAATATAACATGACCAAGTAGGATTCATCCCAGGAATGGAAGGATTGTTCAACATACACAGATTAAGAAATGTAATATATCACATAAATAGAAGCTAGGAAAAAAATCACATGATAATCTCAGTAGGAGCCTTTGACAAAATTCAACATCCTATCATGATTAAAAATACTGAAGAAAATAAATATAAAAGGTATTTATCTCAATTTGATAAAAGCCATTTGTGACAAACCTACTGCCAACATTACATTAAATGGAGAAAAATTGGAAGCTTTCCCTCTAAAGTCAGGAGCAAGAAAAAGATGTTCTCTGTCACCACTGTTGTTCAACATATTATTTGAAGCATTTTCAAGGGCAATTAGGCAAGAAAAAGAAATAAAAAGGATATGTATTTATTGAGTAACTATTTTGAAGTTGACGATGTACACTCTAATAACTATTGTTATTCTCTTATTATTTGGTTATGAATTTTTTCATAAAACAAAATGAAAAAATAAAGAAAATAACAACCCTAAATATTTACATTGGATCTGTATTAAAATATGTGGTCAGAATCTAGAAAAAAGGAGGTCTACGTATAGAAAAGGAAGAAGTCAAATTATTACTTGCAGATGACATTTTCCTAAACATAGAGCTTCCAGAAAACCCACCAAAAGATTCTTTAGAATTAAGAACCAAATTCAGTAATGCAGAAGGTTACAGATTCAACACAAAAAATCAATAGCACTCCTATACACTAATAATGAGGCTTCTGAGAAAGAAATTAAGAAAATAATACCATTCACAATAGCATCAAGAAAAATGAAATATTTAGGAATTAACCTAAGAAAATGAAAGACCTCTATGATGAAAACTACAATACTCTGAAAAATGAGGTCAAAGAGGACATCAGAAAATAGAAAGATATTCTCTGTTCTTGGATAGGCAGAAATAATATAGTCAAAATGGCCCTACTTCCAAAACTGATATAGAGACTGTTATCCCAATCAAAATTCAAACAGCATTCTTCACAGAACTAGAGAAATCAGTGCTACAATTAATATGGAACCAGAAGAGAATCAGAATAGCAAAAACACTCATTCCTGAGTAAGATGAGCAAACCAGAAGCCATCGCAATCTCGGACTTGAAGTTATATTACAAAGATACTGTGATAAAAACAACATAATACTGGCATAAAACAGACATGATCAATGAAACAGAATAAGTGATGTGGAAAAAATTCCAAGCACATTCTGCCCTTGCATGGACTGTTTCTACTCTGTGATGTTCCTTTGCCTTGCAACCCTGCCTTAGAAACAGCTGACTGTGTAGTGAAATATCCATGAACTGTGAGCTGAAATAAACACTTTTTCTTTAATTTGTGGGTGTCTCATATTTTGTCCCAGCAATGAGAAAGTAAGACATTCCCTTCCCACTTCCTCCATGTCTTTTAAAAAATTATTTCAATTTATTAGTACATGTATATAGTACACAATGTTTACATTTCTTGTGGGAAGTTGGTACATGGGAGGGCAGACAGAAAGCAGCAAGCAGTGAGCCTTCCAGATTTTTGTCCCATCGAGGCTATAAGCCTATTGGATGGTGCCACACACACCCAGCGTGGGTCTTCCCATTAGCCACACCCAGAACTATGTTAAACCAATCAGTGGACTAATTTAGTTACCCTATACCCTTAATACACATCCACACACCCTAGGTCCAGCCATCTCTGAAAAGCCTTGCCTATGAGTGCATGAGTCTTGGAGGGGACAAGCCATAATAGGGAGGGAAGGAGGAAGGGCATTAAAAAGAACTAAAATGTATTACGTACATTTACGAACTCCCCAGAAGGAATGTAATCATTATGTACTGCAAACATGTACTAAAAAAATAAAAATTTTTAAAGAATAAAAAAAGATCCAGCTCCTGCCTCGCAAGTGCAAGGTCCCAAGTTCGATCCCCAGTACCAAAAAAAAAAAAAAGAATAAAAAAATAATTTGCTACATGAATGAATACCAGTGCTGACTCAGCCAACAACACTTTGAGCATAAGGGTCAAAAAGGGATCAAGAGCATGGCATCAAGAGTGTAGAAGAATGATCTCATTAACTGTGATTAACTGTGGGAAAATTTAAATGTCTTTCTGATTAAGAATGGAACATGCAGTATGAAATTTGGAGAGGGAAACGGTGCTACAGTCAGTCTTATCCACTCATTTTGTTTAATCCTACACTGTACCTGTTGGGGGAGACGGGACAAAAATGAAAATGATAGGCTTTTTTAGCAGTATTAATTTTAGTTTGAAAGGATGGTTTTGCATTCTGCAGCAGATACAGTATTCATCTTTTAAATTGATGATTCTATTTATTTTAACTCATATGAACACAAATGGAATTCTTCCACAAATAACTTTTCAAAAGGTTGACTTTTTTAAGAATTAAACTTCCCGATTAGGGATGTCGATGGTTTTTTAAGCACTTTTAAACACAGTTAGGTCTTAACAACAACCAAAGCAAGTCACAAATGAAAAAGAGATCTAGATCTTCCACTTTATCATAATTATTTTCCATTGCCTTATTCTCCAATTGCTATATCAATCTTCACATTTTTAAGTCTTAAGAATTGACATTGGAAGGCGGCTAAAAACGTCTTAGTAGAAACTACCTGAACTTGTCTTGGGTTAGAGTAAGTCTAAGGAGACACTCTCCTTAGGCAAAAAAATGTAAGAAGTCAACCCAAAACTCAGTAACGAACATAAACAATATTTAATGATATTTCCAAAAGGTTGGAATTGATGCAAAAATGCCCATGAAGAACAAAATATCAATGTTTTAAACAAAGACAGGATTTTACCTTCAAGCTGGACGACATGCCGATCTATTGAGTTTTTGTCACAACTTTAAATTTTGCTCCACAAATGAGTGCCTCAATCTCTTATACTAGTCCAGGCTCTTGATTCTTGCATACTTTCATGTGTGGCATCTTTTTGAATCAGTTCACTGTTACTTTTGGATTAAAAATCCGTTGTATCAGTGCTTTTCCTTTCGCCAAACCTCTGCTATTACAAATTTCCTGAAAGATTTCATTGGATTTCTTGTTGGACTCCCTCCAAGTGTGATAATGGTATTTTAAAGCGTATCCCCACCCTAGGTGCCTCCCCCTCTTCCAGTTCCGAGTTTTGTTGCTTCTTTCCACCTGCAGGAGTTGGCACCCTCCTCATGCCAGGACGACAGTTCTGCTTTAGCGAGCAGCTCCCACAGCTAGAGACATATTTCCATTCTTTTTAACTCTAAATGCTCCTGCTACTTCATCTCCTAACTTCTGTCAATTGTGTCACGGAAATACTGTTTCCCAAATTCAAACGGCTTTCAAAAGCACCCCTCCCCTCTGCGAACAGGGGAAGGCGGGGCTTTGGAGACTGGAGAAAGCAACCGTTGTGGCCTTCGCCTGTCATTACAACGTAAAAGAAAAGAGAAAGACCGAGATAGCTCTGGTTTTCTTGCAATTGTGTGTGAGTACTATGCGCCTACAAATTCCACATGCTTCTCTACCCCACAGCGGGTCAGAATAGGCAGAGTACAAGGGCTTTGGGCAGGTCCGCAGGCCACACCTCCACAGCCTGCTCTCCTTATTGGCTTAACTGCCTGTCACTCCAAGCTAGCTCCAACTCCGTATAACTATTCACGTAGTTTGGTTGCGTCTTGGCGTGTTTAATGTTGCCAATAAACGAAAGGCTTTTCTTTCTTTCTTTCTTTCTTTCTTTCTTTCTTTCTTTCTTTCATTCATTCATTTTTTTTCAAGAGTACAAGTCCTGCTGCAGTTAGTTCATTGAAGAACCTAGTTGGTTCTCCAAGAGATCAAGGAAGGACTGCTTTCGTCTTTTTTTCTGTTCACTATTAAGCTGTCCTGTAGAGAGTTGTAATAATGCCCAAAAGAAAGGTAAGTGAAATGGGGATTTAGAAAGGAGATTAGCTGCTGAAACCCTTATTTCCTAAGGCAGAGATTTAAAAAAAAAAATTTAGACTTCTAAATTGATTCTGTGATGTACTGAGTAGACGGGAAGGGAAAAGCACAGAGCAATTGATTTAAGTCTTAGGATGGTCTCCCATTTAACTGGTAGTTCACTTTTGGTGTGTTTTGTTTAAGGCGAAAAATTGCTTTAGAGATGTCTCCATGCTTAATTACAAACACCCATAGGGCTGTGCTGTCGTTTCCTACCCCACCCCCTTCCTCCTCTTACTCTATTGGAGAACTCTTCTCCCAGCCACGCTTTCCGCGGAGCCAGGTTCCTCCTCTGCCTCCTGCTTTTCTCCAGCCACCGTCTCGTTTTGGGAAAGCGAAAGCCGTAGCTTTCTCCAGTCTTCCCTCCCTCCCTCTTTTCCTTCCTTCCTTCCTTCCTTCCTTCCTTCCTTCCTTCCTTCCTTCCTTCCTTCCTTCCTCCCTCCCACCCTTCCTTTCTTCCTTGCTTTCTTGCTTCCTCCCTCCTTTTTTTTTTTTATTCCCTCCTCCACTTCTTGTCATGCCAGATGCCTATGAAATGGTAATATGGTGCCATTAGGCGGCTCAGACTTCAAACTGTCTTAGAAAAGGGAAAAATTTGCCTCTGTAAGTAGAAACTAGAGTTGAGAGACTTGGCTCTCTCGGAGCTCTAGCTAAAGGTGGAAAGGTGATAAGGGTCCCATCCTATAAACTATTGTTAATGTTTGGAGACAGCGGGGGATTTGTTGCCTTTATACATACAGAATTGCTTTGACTTATTCAAGGACTACAGTTCTGCAACCCTCACTTCAAAATTTCTGGCATCTCTTAGGTGGGAAATAAGTTCGAGTTCGTTGTTTTTGTGAGTATATGTGTTTTTGGTTTGTTTGTTTCCTGAATCTCCTATAAGTGAAATAGAAAGTAGTTTCATTGCTTGGTAAGACCATAAAATATTATACCAATGTAAAGTATTATGATTGTTTACATATTATTTGTATTAACCTGTCTTTCTTCCCTAGTTCTAAAACATAGAAACCAGGCTGAAATTCCCCAATGCTCTAGAGCTATGAGTTTGAACCGTGCAATAGTTTGATATTTCCCAGGATGTAGGGTTACTCAGATATGGAAAGCAATCATTTCTAATCACCACCCCCCTTTCTGAGGTTCCTGCCTCTGTGCTTTCCTAGGCTTGTGCAATGGATCTTGCTATTTTACCTCGCTGACAACAATCTTGTAGCAGGTAGTAGTGGAAAGTTTTTAAATCTGCAGTCAACTTCTCAGAATAAAGCATTGATGTTATAACAAAAAGGTTCTTCCTTCAAAGCACTGTGGGAAATTGTAGTTCTTGTATGTGGAATGTGAGAAAGAATCAATAAAGAGGGTCTTATAGGTACAATTGCATAGCAAACATAAATGAAGAGAGGGAAATTACATGAAGCTTTACCTTCATTTGGCCAGTCCCCACCTTTTGTTTTGTCTCTTAACACAGTACAGCATGTGTATTTCAAAATGAAAATGGTTTTTAAGAGATGTTATTTACACAAAATGATGAAATTGGTTATCAATTGTGGAAACCTATGTCTTGAGCATACACTTGCAAACCAGTGTACACTTACACTTTAGTAGACAGCAGAAGGTATCATAACTTCTGGGAAGTAACAAATAACTATGTGATTGAGAACCCAGGAAAAAGTCATAATCAGCAATATTGCAACTATTCTCCATGGGCAATATTTTCTAATCTATTTTATTATATTGATGACCTTATTTCTCTGTTCTTTTCTCCTCTTTATAGGCTGCAGGTCAAGGTGACATAAGGCAAGAGGTGAGTGTCTTTAGTTTTAGAATTTGTCTGGGAAAAAATCCACTTGTTTTATGAATTTCAGACACATGAACAGCTAAAAAAGATACTTGCTGGTTTATTTGGACCATATGAGTTCCAAAATGGGAGGTCAGTGGACTCTTTCATAAATGTAGTAGTAACAAAAAGTACAAGCTTTTCAGAATTTAGGATCTCATGCTTGTTAAGATCCCAAGAAATCATGTTTTTAAGTAATAAATAAATACAGAAATAAAATTTAAAATTTGTTCTGCCAGTTGTCAAGAAGGGCCTGTATTTTCATTTTAAAATATTTTTCCTGCTAATGGCCATTGTGTTTAGCCTACAATGGAAGCTTACTTCATCATTATTTTTTTCCTTAGCATAGGAAGGGTCCAGAGGAGGGCACAATGAAAATTTATATTTCTACAATGTTATTTGCTAAACAGGTTAACGATTGTTGCTTTAATAAAAATATTTATGTACTGTTATACCAAATATTTTTACCACAATAAATATAATTCTAGTTTTGTGTATTCATAATTTTCTTACCTGATTTTTTTTCACTTATAGCCAAAGAGAAGATCAGCTAGACTGTTTGCGGTAAGTAGCTTTTTATAAAAGAAGCACATACATTGTGAAATATTTAAAATTTAAAGAATTTTGAATAAAACTATATTTAACATTAGTTTTATTTTGAAGTTTAAAGAAAAATAGTTCACGCTAAGGAAATATTTTTTGCTAGTGTTCATTTCTAAACCACGTTTATTTTAATTAAGAGGTTGGATTTAATTGTCAGGGTTTTTTCATCAATTATAATATATTTTTCTCTCCCTCTTTTTTCCATGACTCAATATTTTTTGATGCAGGTACCTGTGCTCATTGTGCCAGAGTTGAAACCTCAAAGAATATCAACTCCAAGGGCAAAAATTAGATTTCTAACGTTGAGAGAAAATTGTGATTTTTAAGAAATATTTTTGAAGAGGCATACATGTGAAAAGTTTGCATTATTTTTTGTTCAATTAGTAATATAATATGTTGCACCATATAATATGTATAAACACTTCAGGTGGAGAATGGTTTTGGGATTCTTCACCATTTTTCAGCATATTGTGTAAAGATAAAACACCATTTTAGTCAAATAGAACCATTAAATGTACATGCCTTTGATATTTCATAGTTACAGTACTGATATTCCTGAGAAAACAAAGGGTACAAAGTGAAGTAACTAAAGTAGTGTTTTGTAATAATAGTAGTAACTAACATGATAATAATGTGCACTTTGCCTGGTGCTTTCACATATGTTCATTTTGAATGGACACAATTGCTTTTATACAGATTTCTATTCTCTGATGATGCTGTGGCTAAAGGCATGTTAAAAATAGAAATAGCATCAATATTAAGTTCACTGTTAATTGCTTCATATATAAGGATATTTTAAGGTTTGATGGAATTTTTTTAAATCATGAAAGGCTAAAGCTATAAGACATTAGAAATCATATAAACCAATTGTTGCATAGTTTCAAATTTGGAAACTGTTGTCATGTTTACAAAACTTTGAAACCTTTGATTAAAGGATATTGTTAAGACTAGGGCTAATGAACTATTAGTAATAGTTGATTTACTAATAGTAAATAAAACCAGAAAAGAGCATTTATTTTTTATTTTTTTCTTGTGCTATAGTAGTCTACATCTATGTTAAAACAACTATAATCATAGAACTTTTTTCTACAAATTCTACTTCCAATTTTAAGAAGGGTACACACATAAATACACACTTATAATAACAAAAGCATGATAATAAAGTATGTATGATGAATTTATAAAATTTTTTCTCTATTGTACTTTTCAGTGAAATTAAATTGTTAAATACAGTTTATTTTCTTTTCAAGGAGAAAGTAAGACTGGAGGTGTATCTCAGTGATAGAGAATTTACCTAGCACACATGTGTGTCTGAATTGGATCCCCAGTAAGTGCTGAGGCAAAAGGTAGGGATAGATTAAAACAGTATGTAATCATAGACTTTAAAAGTTATTTACTTTTCTTAGCTCCCTGTCTCATTTGTTTAAAAAGCAATAACGGCATTTTAGAGTTTTTAATCAAATTTCACATCCATTTTCACATTTATCTTTCATAAATTCTGTGTGTAATAGGTGATATTACCTTTTTTCCATATATAAATAAGACAACTTCAAAGAGTTTTATGCTTTTGCTTAAAATCATATCACATAAGTGGCATATCCACAATTCAAACACAGGCTTTCTGGCCTCTTTTCAATAGTCTTGCTACTATATGCACACTTATGCAAAGAGCTTTCTTGGAAAAGCAGTCATGATTCATGACATTTTAAAACTTGTAAAGAGAAAGATTGAGGCACCTATATTCCATGGTGATCTCTTAAATATAACTAAATTAGTGCTGCCTCTCTAATATAGTATTTCTCCTAATTACTATCAATGGAAGCATTACAATTAACAAAACCCTGTTGCTAATTATTAGGCTAGATAGAGATAAATGGGCACTCTCTCATCAGAAAGAATAAATTTATCAGAGTAATCTGATACTGGCAATTGGCCTTTGTTGGTCACTTGTTAGCATTCTAAGCAGGTGATTCTCCTATACACCCAGCAGCGTAAAAACAAACATTTGATTTACATCAGGGGAGCACAGCTCTTTTTACATGCTGCTTTAATGCTTTAAAATAAAACTAAAAGTGTTATGTTAATTTTTAATGAAAGTTGATAAATGATTTTGGCCATTTAATCAAAGAAACAGGTGTACTGTGTATTCATTGTTATTCTTTTTGTGTTGCTGAACAGAAAATGAAGATCAAAAATGACATGACAAAAAGAAACATAGATTCAAATGCAAAAATATTAGCTGAAATCAAGCAAGAAGTTGTTAAAGAACACTGCAACAATAAAAATGCTGAAAGGCTTGTTTGAGACAGGGTCTTGCTTTGTAGTTTAAGCTGTCCCTGAATACCCCAGGCTGGGCTCAAACTTGCAGTGATCCTCCTGCCTCAGTCTCCTGAGTGCTGGGATTATAGGCATGTGCCACTAAGCCTGGCTTTGAGGTATCTTTTAATAATAGATACAAAAGAAGGAAATTTTATTTGACTTTTAGTTTAAAATTTGAGAAATATTAAATGAATGGTAATTCTTTGTATGAATTCAAAGACAAAAGAAAATGCTTTTTATTTTTTGAAAAAATAAAACAAAATTTGATAATAAAATAAGTGAATAACAGTGTATTATTATCTTCAATGTATTTTCATAGAGTAAAAGATATAGACAAAAAAGATAAAGAAGAAACAGATAACACAAAACTTTTTAATGAAGAAAATAGTTTTAAAATATGAGAAATATGAGAAAATTATAGATACCTCCAGTGAGAGCAGAGAGTTAGCATTGCTATTGCTCCAATAATGTCATGATAATGAGTTATTACTAACATAATGAACCACTTTTAAATATAGGCCGATCTTTCACTGATGTTATTGACATACAGGATATTTGTAAATTCTTTTTCCTAAATACATAATTCTTTTATTTATAGATAGCAAAATAAAACACCGTATGAATGTTTAAGTAGGTTTTGCTTTGAATATTTAATGCATAGTGCATTTTTAAGTATTTTAGTAAAATACTGAAAATGGGATATATTACTATATAGAATCAAATCTAAAACACTTAATAAGTGATGTTATGATATTTGGTGTAAGATTTTTAAATAAATTTTATGAAAAGGGCTAATTTCCCCATTTATGGTAACAATGTATTATTTTCCCAATGCATGCTTGTATACCTGTTACTGAGAATTTCTGACATAGAATAACCTTATGTCATCTTTTATGTATTTATTTTGTGCTTAATCATATTTCTGATGAAAATTATTTATATAAATAAGTTTTCCTGAACTTATTGTTACATATATCTCTGTGTGAATGTTTGTGTAGAAAGAGATGTGTTAATCTTATTTCTTCAAATATTTTCCTTGTTATGTTATTGTCTACAACAAAATTACTTTCTTATAAGAGTGGCATTAATTAAATATGTAAGAAAAGCAATTCTAAAATTGCAATTATTTTTTCATGACACATGTAGGCACTAGCTCTTAAAAAAGAAATTAAGGAAATAAAAGATGAAAAAATGATGACACTAGAAAAGAGGGAGGAGAAAAGAAAGAAGCAGTGACAGCAGAAGAAAGACAAGATGTAAAAGATCAGAAAAACAAGGAAGATCAAAGTAAAGAAGAGAAAGAAGATGAAACATGAGGTCAAGAGGGAAAAGAGGACAAAGAAATAAGAAAGGAGAAGATGGAGAAAGGGAAGATTACCAAAATGAAAAAAGAGATCAAGAGGATGAAGATGGAGAAGGGAAAAAAGAGGAAAAACATGGAAAAGAAAAAGGAGGTGATGAAAATGACGATGAAAAAGAGAAAGGAGGTGGGAAAGAGAAGGAAGATGGAAAAAAGGATAAAGATGGAAAAGAGAAAGGAGATAAAGAAAAGAAATATGAAAAAGAGAGACATGGACAGGAAGATGAAGTTGGAAATGCAGAAGAAGATGGAAAGGAAAAAGAAAAAGATGGAAAAGAGGCAGAAGGAAAAGACAAAGAAGATGTAAAAGAACATGGAAGAAGAGATGAGAAAGATATGAGAGATAAAGAGAAAGATGAAAACAAACCTGAAGTTGGAAATGAAGCTGAAATAGAAGTTGAAAAAGATAGAAAAGAGAGTCTGAATATTGTTTAAAACTGCCCTATATAGTTTCATAATACATTTGGTAAAATGTAGCTTCATGCAATATTAAAAGAGATAAATACTTTATCACATATTTTATAAGCACTACTTTTCTGACATTTCACGTCACATACTTTTTATTAGTCACAAAATGCCTAACATGAAATTGAATCTAAAAATTTATGACAATAGTAGTGGAATATATAATAAATATGCTTTCAAATTTGTCAGTGAATTTTGCTTTCTGTATATTCTGTTTCAATCTTTGAACTTGAATTATATATATATGAATATATGAGTGATAGAATACAGAATGATAGTTTCACAATGTAGGGGATTTTCAAAAGAAAAAGTTTCATGCAACATTCTTATGGTTCTCTAAATCACTTGTACAAAGAAGGCAAACCATTTTCATTTAATGCTATGAGTTAGCAGTGTGTTTCCTAAGTATAATTTTACTAATAACATTGAAAAATATAAAATTGTAATTTTGTTTTTCAAAGAAATACAAACATTTATTTCAGAAAGCTAGTTTCAATTGTATGTGTTTGTGAAGTTTTCCTACAATGCACAATTTTTTACTGGATGTATCTTAATTAAAAAGACTCTTCAAAGATGATTGTAGTTTGTTATATCTCAAAACTGTGTCTAGTGAAACATTATAACTCTAAATTTTTATATTGTGATGTTCATGACAGCATATAAAATTTTTCATTGAGATACAATTATCATAATATTCTCTACTTTAGTAATTTCTAAGGGTGAAGTTCATTGTTTTTAGTATGTTCATAATGCTTTGCAATCATCACATCTGTCTACTTCCAGAGCATTTTCATCACTCAAATAAAAAGCAAAAGTACTCATGAATAGTTTCTCCTTTTTCTCATCAACTACACACCACCCTCCATTATCTGCCAATGATTTCAAGTTCTGTGAAATTGCCAAATTTGAATAGTTCAAATAAATAGAATCATGAAATATGTGTTTGTGGCCTTTTGTGCTTGGCTTCTTTACCTTGGCATAATGTTTTCAGGTTCATCCTTGTCATAACCTGTCATTACTTCATTCCTTTTTGTGGTTGAATAATAGTTCATCTCATCAAAATAACCCATTTTATTTTTTGATGGACATTTGGACTTCTACATTTTGTCAGTTATGAATAATGTTGCTATGAACATTCATGTACATGTTTTTCATTTCTCCTGAGTATATATCTAGTAGTGAAATTACTGGATCTAGTAGTAATTATGTGTTTAACGTTTTGAGAGACTTCCAGACTTTTTCAAAATTGCTTCAACATTTCATATCTCCATCAGCAATGTATGAAAATACTGATTTTTCCATATCTTTGCCAATACTTTTTATTGTCTGACTTTTATTAAATATATTTCACTAGCGTGATTTAGGTGGTTTTGATTTGCTTTTTCCTAATAATGTTGATCATCTGTCTATATGCTTGTTGTCTATTTTTTATATGTATGTGGAGGAATACCTATTTAAATCTTTTGACAATTTACTAATCACATTGTCTTTTTAGCATTGAGTTATAAGGAATGTATTTGTAATAGAAATAAGTCTATTATCAGACAGATGGCGTGCAAAAATATTTCCCCATTCTCTTTTTCATTTTAGTAGTGTCCTTTGATGCACAAAAATTTGATTTTGATGAGGATCAATTCATCTGTTTCTTTTGTATCTTATGATTTTGGTAGCATATCTAAAAATTTCACCAAACTCCCAGTCACAAAGATGTACACGTACATTTTCTTCTAAGAGTTTTATATTTGTCTCTCATCCGTTTTGTGTTAATTTGTATATATATGAAGTAGGAGTCCAACCTCATTCATATACATGGGGTATCTATTTTTTCAAAATTTGTTCTTTCTGCTTTGAATGCTAATGGCAAATGTGATAATGAATAGAACACAAATATGTAGGTTTATTTCTGGATTCTGAATTGTATACCATTGATCTGTAACATTATATCCATATCATACATTTGATTACATATACAGCACTGTCAGTTTTGACATCAGACTTTGTCAGTCTTTCAGTTCATCAGTCCTGTGCAATTGTATATGAATTTTATGATCAGCTTGTCTACTTCTACAAAGAAAAAATGTGGTTGGAGTTTTGGTAGAGATCACAAGGAATATGAAATCTGTCTGGGAAAGACTGCCATATTAACAATACTGAATCTTCCAATCCATGAAAAAAGAATGTGTCTTTTTATTTAGGTTCTCCTTAATTTCTTTCAGCAATATTTAGTAGTTTTCAGCATATAACTGTTCCACCACTTTCTTGGTTAAATTTGTGTTTTATTCTCTCTGATTCTCTATAAATATAATGATTATCATGATTTCTATTTCAGATTTTTCATTGTTGGTGTATAGAAATGACACTGATATTTATATTGATCTTGTATCATCAAATGTTGTTGAATTGCTTTATTTGCTCTACTAGACATTGGGCAGATTCTTTGGGATTTTCATTTTACAAAATCATGTCATATAGAAGCTAATGTATAGCTCAGAGCACTTGCCTAGCATGAGCAAAGTCCTTGGTTCAATCCTTATTACCGCTCCCCAGAAAAGTCATCTGTAAACAGAGTTTTATTTTTCCCTTTCCAGTTTCTTTTTTTTGCATAATTGCCTTGGATTTAAAAAGACTTAACAAATACTAAGAATGCAAAACTAAACACACAAAATGCAGAAAGTACAATTTTCAAGGCATAAGCCTCTACCACTACAATTCCTAGGGATGGGAAGTCTGTTGCCATTTTGCAGCCTGTACCAAAATAAAATATAATGTTACGGTATTCAAAACCTCCCTTAAAGAGCTGTTTATCCTTCTAGGAAACTTTTCTAGATCCCTTGCTTCCTAGATACATTCTACAACCACAGAGAATGCACTGTCATAACATCAAACACAGTCATTGGTCACTTAAACAACTTAATCACCTTCATTTTCTTATTTTTTTAAATAACAGCTTTATTGAACTAAAATTTACATACTACACAGTTTACAAACTTGAAGTGTATGATTCTGCAGATTTTGTCATATTAACAGAGTTGAACAACCATCACTACAATCAAATTTAGATTATTTTTGTTATCCCCAAAGAAAACATTCTACCCACAAGCTATTATCTCCAAATCCCTTCCACCTAAACTAGGCAAATACTGAGTTACTCTCTATCTTCATAAATTTTGCTTTTGTGGGAATTTAATTTTTTATTTAAAATAGATCATGCTTTTAGCAACAATGAAGATTTTATATACCCAAAGAAAGGGAAATCCTACAAAGTGAGCTCTCACAACATATTGGAGCTAAATAAGAAACCAATATCAGAAACATACTTAGTGTCTTGGTTACATTTCTCATTGATAAGAGACAATACTAAACACCCAAAATTCAAGAGGAAAGATTTATTTTCACTCACAATTTGTGGAGGTTTAAGTTCATAGTTGGCTGACTCCAAGGCCAGGTGGCATGGCAGAGGAGAAACAGTTCATGGGAGGTAGAAGACAGCAGTAGAGTAGCATTCTACTAGAAGCAAGGGACAAGTGACCACATTAGCCCTCTTTCTGTCCTTTATATTTTATCCAGGCTATCCGTCCTAAAGAACACCATTAAGCTTACCCAGAACTATACCAAACCAATCAGTGGACTAATTTAGTAATCACACACCCTTAATCCCAACATCACACACTTAATCTCAGCATCACACACTGTAGATCCAGCTACCTTTGAAAAGCCCCACATACAACAGCATGAGAATTGGGTGGGGCAATCAGACACATTCCACCCCTGGTACCCCAAAACTCATGCACATCCCTTCATGCAACAGGCATTTAATACATCTCTAAGAGTTTTCAAAATTCTGCCAGTTTCATTATTGCTGAAATGTTCAAGTCCAAGTCTCCTCTGAGATGTAAGGCAAACTATTAGCTGTAAACACTTGTAAAACTGAAAAGAAAGTTAAAAACTTTCAACATACAATTGTACAAGATAAACTTTACCATTTCAAAATGTACAAATAGGGGAATATAAAGGAATGGGATTAAAGCAAATACATAATGGACCAGGGCCAACATTGCCTTGTAGTTCCATGTCCAGCATCCAAGGCAATCTGTGGCAAGATGTGAACTCCAAAGGGCTTGGGCGGCTCCATTGCTATGGCACTGCTAGTGGTATTAGCTCCCAGGGCTTTTCTTTTGGGCCAACCCTGCTCCTTTCTTACAGTCTTCCTCAGATGATCTACGTTCCTGGCTTCTCCAAACTTTTGGAGTCTCCACTGCAACTTCAGCTTTACTCTCTCAGCTTCATACACTGCCCTCTGTGGGGCAAACTGCTTGGCTTCCGAGGCCTTCATCTGAAATCTGGGTGGAAGCCTTCCTGATCCCACAACTCTTGCATTCTGCATGTACCTAAAACCAACACCACATGGATGCTGGTAGGTCTGATGCCAGCTGGAGCAATAGCTAGGCTTCCTTATCTCTTGGCTGTGTGGACTTAGTACCTGGATTGCTGAGCACTCTGAACCCAATCCCAAGGAAAAAGTTCTCTAGGATGCAACCATTCTGGAACATGGTGTTCTGGTGTGCTCTTCTCAAAACAAATTATTTTACCCTTGCAACTTTTTGATGCTGCAAGGGCTGGAGTCCTGCTGTGTCTTGTGATGCCCTCTAACCATTTTTTTCATTCTCCTTCTCCTTCTTGGCAAACAAGTTCACCTCTACTCTAACTTTGTGGTACACAGCTTTACTGGATCTTCCTTCCTGACAAAACTCATCATATTTTAAATAATCCTGCTGTGTCTTTACTCTCATTTCTCAACATAGACCTGGCTAAAAGCCTCCAACAGTAGCCATGCCACTGCCTCAACCTTAAGCCATCTTGAAATTTCTTCTGCAAGATTAATTTGTACACTGCTCTTAATCTCAGCCTCAAGCAAAATCACAAAATACAAGCAAAATGCTGACAAACTTTCTGCCAAGGCATAAGACATATCATCTAGAGTCTAATTGCCAATGCAGAGACAAGAGTCCACCCAGATTGCATCACTAAGTGAGCATAGATCCCAGTGAGAAGCCTGCCTGGACCAGAGCTGCACAAGTGCCCACAGATCCCAGTCAGGACCCCACCCAAACCCCAGCGCTTGGGCTCACAGGCCCCAACCAAAGGCCTGGCTGGAAAAAAGCTGCACAGGTGCACAAGCAATAGCCAGAGGCCCAGCCAGATATCCTTGGTAAATGCATGCAAATCCAAGTGAGAAGCCTGCTTAGACACTAGCTACTCAGGTGCACAGTCCCCAACCAAAGCCTCTCCCACACAAAAGCTATGAAGAGGCATGCTCAGATACCATCCCAAGTGTGCACAGACACAGCCAGAACCCCACACAGAAAACAAGGCAGCACAGGGATCCAGAAGTCCACCATTCTGAACCCAGGAATTGGTGCAATGGTGAGCAGCCGAGAAAAGGCCTCTCTGAGGCTTGCTGAGAATTGAAGACCACTGGGCAAGCAAAAGTTGCCTCAAAAAAACATAGCAAGCCGCATCTGTTGAAATGAGAAAACATGTAAACAAGTCTCAAAACCACACTTCCACATCACCTAAGGCAACCCCACAGGGCAGCAAAATGGAACAATCTGATACTCAACCACCTGGACCCTCTGAACTGGCAACAAAAGAGGATCTGGAAGAAAAGAAATCAGAAATAATTTCTCAAATAACAGCAGAGATTGTGCCCATAGTACAAGACATGATTAATAAATTTAGAGAGGACACAGATAAAAAAATAGAGGAGCTGAGGAACATGATGGAATCCCAACATAGGAAACAAATGGAATCCATAAAACAAATGCAAACAAAATTCCAGGAGATTAAAAACTCCACTGGTAGTTTAAACAGCAGAATGAGCCAATGTGAGGACAGAATATCAGATATAGAAGACAGGATTGCAATTAGTGACCAGGAA